GCATTGTCTTCCTTCTGATGAGCATAAGCCATGCGTGTTTCTTCAAGATCTTGCTCAGTGGACTTGATTATCTCTTCACATTCACAAACCTTTGTCGTCAGAAGAGCATTCTAAACAAAAAATTATGACGTCTTCATCTGGCGCCTCCACCTTTCACCGGAATCGATGTAAACTTATATTCTGTGATCATTTGCCAACTTGATTACGAAGATCGGTCTCGAAGCCGACCAATTCGGACGCAATTTGGCACCGTGACCTTCTTCACCGAAACGGGTATAACTTACGGGCCAGAGTTATTGGCATGCTGATCAAGAAATAAGCACTTTTTCGCGTCGTCGCAATATAGCGTCAGAATAGAACCAGTGCCAACGTTGCGCCACTAACTTTCCCACCGTTGTTATTCGCGCTTGATTCTTTTGTGCCTGCGAGGTTGTTAGGTGCAATTGTTTAATAAACTCGCACGCATGAAAGAATCGAGACGAATAACAACAATGCCGAGGTTTCACAATGAGAGCAGTTGGAGACTTTTCCCACTCACTTCGTTGCATTTATGATTGACTGCGGATCACAATCACAAGTAGCGTTCTGTCGCTCTCCGCTTCTCTCAGGCTCAGCCTGAGTGAAGCGGAGACCGACAGGGCACTGGCCTCCTGATCAGGACGAAAACAACCCTACAATTAGTATAAAAGTTCTTATCAGCTTTGGTGAAAAACGCGGTGGTGCCGTCCTGGTGCCTATTAGGGCCACTTGCTGTTAAAAACGAATAACACATTCGTGATCACGGAGCTGAGTAAGCTCTAAAGGCAAAGTTCCAAAAAAAAAATCGAGATAGGTTGTTGCCAGCGTCACTGGTGGAAGACCACAGCCCCACAAAGCATTGGGCAGTTTGGCCAAATGCCCTCCTTCAACCTTTACACCAAGTGACAGTGGCAACAACCGCCCATCCTTCACCAATCTGCATGCTTCTTTTGATCCGTACTGTTATTTCAAACCGTGTTATTCATACAAAGAAAGCGGAAGGATTAACATAAATACTCACCTCTCCTTTGGATGAAAGGATCTCCATCTGAGCCGATGCAAGCGACGACTGCAATTCAGCCATTTTCGCAGCAGTTTGTTCCAGTTCCTCTTTCGTGGAATCGAGATCTTCATTCACTTGTGATAACTGAGACTTCGCATGGGCTAATTGCCCACATTTCTCTTCATTCTGCTGTTCGAGGATGTCATAGTTTTCTTTCAGCAGAGATAATTGCTTTTTTAGCTCATCTATGGCAAAGTTCGCGCTTTTGTACTTTCTGAGTCAAGCTTTCTGCGCATCCATTTCAGACTCACTTACTTTTCGCCGTCCTGCTCGACCAGGTTTTTTGAAGAACCTCAAGCTGCTGGATGAGTTCTTCTCGCTCTGTTGAAAACGAGGTTACAAGTGATTCGTAACGCTGCGTAAGTTCCTCGTAATGTTGTTTGCATTCGGATTCACTTGCTTGAAGTGTACTAACACTGTTTTCGAGATTTCGAACTTTTTCAACAAGTTCTATGTTCTCTAATTTCACCCGAGACCTTTCATCTTCGATGACCTTCGCCAACTCTTTGATTTGAGCAGTCTCCAGCTCAGCACAGCGTGCCACATCGGAGAGCCTCACGTTTTCTGTCTTTTGCGCTCCCATTTCTTCAAGGAGTTCGTTGTACATGACTTGTACTCGCTGCAGCTCTGCCACCACTTCACTATGTTTCCTATCCAAGTCATCGAACGACTTCTGCAGTACACTACTTTTCTCTTTCTCATCCTCCATTATGGATTTCAAAGAGCTCAACTTTTCTTCATAATGCCTCCTCTCGGAAGTAAGAAGTTCGTTCAAATCCTGCTGTCTTCGTAGAAGATTCGCCACTTTGGGCTTCGAATCACCTTCGTTATTCCATGGCTCAGATGAGGAAGCAGTGGTCCACTCTGCGGCAGCACTGTTGCCATCAGAATCCTCACCAGTAGGCGTTATGTCATCGACACTGTGGTCCTTTCCAACGAGTTCATCGAACAACACCTCTATGACCGACTGTTCTTCTTCATCGCCTCTGCCCACAACGTTACTCGAAGCTACACAAGCGTTTGTGAGATTGTTGTAAACCTCTTCATCTGATGCCACGTATCTTTTAGCATTCTCGACGATTCTGTCTCGTTTCAACTTCAACTCTGGAATTTCGGCCCCCAACGAGGCAATTAGAGCAGCAGATTGCTTGTTATAGCTCGTCATACGTTGTAATTCTGTTGTTTCGCAATCACATTTCACTTCATGCTCTTCTAGCTCATGATTCTTCTTCTTGTGCTCCTTGTCCAGCTCCTTCAGATGTTGACGTGTAACTCTGTAAATGCAATTTTAAGGACAAGGAACTTCTCAAATGAACTGAAGGATGAAGGGAGGCTTAATGCTCTTAGCACGCGAGCCCGTAAAATGGTGTGGTGCAGGTTCGGGTCCTACCTGGGTCAGGTCTTTTGTCCACAACTTCGCATATCTACGGGAATGTTTCAGTGGGCAATGTCTTCATCAATGAAAACTGTCGAAACTACAGTTGGCACGTTATTCCGAGAAATGCTTGACTTATGGGCAGAAGAGTCAGCTTCCTTCCCCATAACGTAGCATTTCTGTGACAATTCCATAGACTTATGGTAAAACGTCGGTGTTGGTGTGGTGATAAGTGGCGGTTATCACGCGCTGTCCGGGTGTCAATCCCGAAACAGTTCTCGCTCGGGTTAAAAGCAGTTGGCACGATAATTTGGTGCTCGGCCTAAAATGCTAGTAGGGCGCTATATAGTGGGGAAAATGGCGAAAAGAACGGAGTGAAACGGTCAAAATCCTGCGAAGAAAGAGCCTCCGTTCTCAATGTGTTCAAAATCAATTTTGGACGAGTTTCCCGTAGGCATCTTGCCAATAACCGCTACAAAAGGTATGGCTGCATATGTGTACTCATACCATGCAGCATCACAGCCGGCTTTATACAATCCTTCGCGATTCAATAATTCTGCTTATGCGCAATAAATCGAGACTAGAGCGTGCAGGAACGGTCGTCCGTATTGTGCCGCGCGGACGTGGCGGAGTGGGCCCAATGTTGTGGCTTGATAGGGCCTTTATAAGGGCACCTCCCTTGAAAAGGCATTATGCAGCGCCTGCTCAGGGTCGCGGAATTCCGTCCTGCCAGGCGTATTAATCCTACTCGTCTTGGGGGATTTATCGTGCCAACTGCCTTTAAGCAAGCCCTTCTATTCTTCTCACCTGGTCAATTAGTACCAACTGTCTGCGAAGCTAAAGCACTGGTTTATACATTGGTTTACTCCCTCAAGTAATTTAGACCATATTGTAATCATTAAGCACCACTTGCGCTTGTTCCTTGTCAGATAACGAGTGAAACAAGGAATGAAGCATGAAGAACCCTGGAAGTCACGCGTAAGGAAAACCGAATAATTTACCTCGACCATAGTGCGGGAATGTTGAAGTTCCTCCGCGAGCTGGACGTTTTCATGACGTAACGCTTCGAGTTTTTTATTGTACTCAGCAATAAGTCGTGTGGAGTGCTAAAAAATCGGCAGGATTGGATTGAAAAAGAATCTTAAAAGGAACAGAGAACTATGACTCTCGAGGAAACAGAATTTAATCACCTCTCGCATTTGATCAATTTGTTGACGTAACGAAGACGTGTCTTCCAATGGGACTCGTGGTTTGCTCTCATTCTGCTGAAACTGACATTAAAAAGGTAGAAATAACATTCAGTACTGTAAACTGTGACTAAATGGGTAGATTGGCGATGCAGCTGTGTTGTGACCTGTTGTGGCGACTTCGCCCGCAACGATTAACCCAGCAATTGCTTTTTATCTCGAAGGTTTACTCCAAAACGCGATGGGGCCTTCGAAGAAAAGTAAGAGGCCCAATAACTGCATACTATGCCATGACATGGTAAGAATTTGGGAACATTTGATCCAATAGGAGGCAGGTGGTAGGCAACCGCCCAGACTTCGCGACGGCAGCGCTCCGGTTGCGCGTTCGACGCGATCAATGCACATGCTTTCGACTGCATCGATCGCGTCGATCACGCAACTCAAGCGCTGCAGTCGCGAAGTCTGAACGCTGCCGTAGATACGTTCGAAGAGCCGTATTTTGCTCAGGGACTGGTAGCTAGAGCTAGAGGTAGGCTAATGTACAATTCCAGATA